GTCGGTCAGTGGGCTGGAGTGCTCAACGTTGATGAACAGTGCGCGGCCTGGCTGCTTATCTCGACGCCGTGGGCAGGCCTTGGCCAGGTTCTTGTCGGGGTCGCGCTCGCAACCCCGCGAGCGTTGACCGTCGCGGCGTGGAATCTGGTTCCTTGTCACGCTCGAACCCCTTGCATGAAGCCCTGAACGGCCTGTGCTCCTGTTTTGCCTTTGCTGGTGGTGAATGTGTTGCTGGCGGCTCCTGGGCTGGTGCTTGCGGCGAGGTGGCCGCGTCGCTGGCGCCGGCAGTCCAGGCACGAACTGGCCCGGCGCTGGGGCCCATGGGCTGTCTACGCCGATGCAGCCGACGCAGACGCGGGTCCAGTCCGCGGCTGAGCCACTTGCGCCCAAGACGCGTCGGAACGTTGCGGAGCTGATGTCGCCGCGCGCGGTTTGACTGGCGCTGCTGCAGCGAGCGCTATTGCCCAGGGGTCGGATGCTTGCGATGGGTCAGGGTTCTCTTGATCGTGAGTCGGATGCTGGGGTTTGTGACCATGTGGGTGCGGTGGCCCAGAAGTGGTGCCCTTGGTAGTGGTGGTGGGCCTGCCAGGTGGGCTGGCTGCTGATCTTGACGCCGTGGGCAGTCCTTGGCCAGGTGCTCGTCGGAGTCGCGCTTGGAGCGCCGCGGGCGTCGACTCCTGCGGCGTGAGAATTGGTTTCTTGTCACGACGAGCCCCTCGCATGTAGTCCTGAACGTGCCTTCGCTCTTGCCGTTGCCCGTGCGGACTCCAGCGAAAGTGTCCTCGAGGTTGTGTTCGGCCATGTGTCCACGAAGGTTTTGTTGTATTATCCCTGCCCTCTGCACTTGCGATTCGTGACTTTTCTGACTGGCTCGTTGGCATGTCGGCGCCATCGGGCCTGGTGGCGCTCGTGGGGCGAGAAACGCGCTGCTTAAACGTTGGTCCAGAAGCCGCGAAAGCTTCAGCCAGGCCTTCGTGGCTGAATTGGCCAGCGCCGAATGGGACGCCCGCCTCCTGTGCCGCGAGCGCCACCTGGGCGTTGACTGGGGCGCAGTGTGGCGACAGCAGCAGAGCCGCTAAAGGCCTGCAGCCAGCAAAGGACATGGAGGCAAGCGGCACAGCGGAGCGACCTGGCCCACGGGTGAGAGTCTCGACTGCGCGGGCTCCAGGGCGATAGGCGACCGAGGGGCAGCTAGCTGCTCAGCGCGCCCTCTCGACGCCACGGAGCCGATGACAGCGTGGGGTCACCCGTCTCAGGTGGCCCACGCACCTTCGCCACCTGTCTACGCGCCAGTTGGGTGCTTCCCGTTTTGCCTGGTTCGGGCGATGAGCGTGGCGCCTTCCAGCCCAGGCCGCTCCCTCCTCCTCCATCTGTCTGCGCACCAACCGGGTGCTTTCCCGTCGCTTACCTATCCGCGCACCAGTTGGGTGCTTTCCCTGGGGCGCCCGCTCTCCCGAGGGCGCCCGCTGCCCGGTCTCCTGCGCGACGCCCAACCCGAGCGACGAGCGACGCGCTGGGCGGCCAGACCGGCCTCCTCCCCACCCGCTGCATGGCCACCTGGTGCTCTGCAGCTCCTCGCCCACGGGTGCGCCATCCAATCCAGTTTGCGCGCCGACTCTGGCATCGGCGTGCCCCTCCCCGGTGCCGCCTGCCGCTCCCCGCGCGCCCCGCCGCTCGGGGCCCGCCTCCCTCTGCTCCTCGCGTCCCCCCGCTGTCCCGCCGCGTCGGCGCAGCGTCTGCGTCGGTGCTGCGGCCGTAGTGGCTGGAGTGCTGCCCGCCTGCCTCCTGGTAGCGCTGGCCCTGCCCCTGCCCCGGCGCTGCCCCCCCCCCCCGCAGCTGCCGCGCTCTGCCCTCCGCCGGGCGCCCTATCTCCCGGCGCTCTGGCAGCGCCCTGGTTGTGGCTGGTGCCCGCAGCCCCCGGGCTCTGTAGGCTGGCATTGCCATGGTCGGCAATGCGCGCTGCTCCGCTTGGGGGTCTCCGCCGTTGCGGCTCGCCCCCGGCTTCTGCCGCCCCGCCCTGGGCCCGCGCCCGTGCTCCATGGCGCGTGGCGCCGCCCTCCTCCGGGCGCGCGGAGTGCCCTGCCCATCCCCGGGCTTCCGCGGGTGGCTGCTATCCCTGGCGCCCCCCTTGGGTGACGCCGCGTAGCGGCTCGACCGTCTCCCTGGGAACCCCGCCCGTGCGCCGCTTGCACCGGGCTCCGCCGCGTCCCAGGCTGTGATGCCGTGCGCCGGCCTTGCGATGGCGTTCGCTCCTCCACCGTTCGCCCTCGCCACCTCGCCCCTGTGGCCTGCGCCGCCCAGCTACCCAATGGCGCTGCGCCCCTGTTCCGCCCGCTGTGCTCCACCCTGGGTCCGCCCCCGCAGCCGCCGCAGCGCCGGTCGCGCCGAGCCCCTGGCCCGCTGCCGTGCGCCCGTGCCGCTGCCCCCCCCGCCCTGGCGCCCCGCCTTGCCGGCCGCCTGCTGCTCCCGCCCCCCGCTTGCTGGGCCCCGCCCGCGCCGCGGCTGCTGGCCCCGCCCCGGGGTGCGCCGTGATGCCGCCCCGCGATTGCTGCCGGGGGCCGCCCCCGCGCGCTCCCCGCGGCCCCGCTGTGTGTGAGTGCCCCCGCGCTCCTGTCTCTCCCCCCCCTGCGGCCGCCCTCTCCCCTCTCCCTCCCCTCTTGCATGCGGACCAATTCGCGACTCCGTAGCTCGGTGATGCTATTCGTGCGAGCGGATTGCCTCTGCTCTGGCGCGACGGAAAAAGTGTGCGCGAAGCCCTGCCCTCTGTACTTGCGTTTCAAGACTTTCCTGACTGGCTCGCTGCCATGTCGGCGCCATCGGGCCTGGTGGCGTTAGTGGGCCGAGAAACGCGCCGTTGAAACGTTGGTCTCCAATAGTCCCTGAACGTCGTCAATGTTGAGCTCGCGGTCGCCGAGGGAGCTGGCGGCGTCGGAGTCGGTGCCGAAGTCGGCCCAAGCGACTGGGTAGGCCTCCTGTGGGCCAGGCCCAACGGCCGCGCCGCTGGTGCCCGGCTCAGCTCAAAACCCGTGAATCCGACCGCCGGTGGCTCTTGGCCACACCATGGTTGCCAATGGCGTCGGCCCGGAACGTGGGCGCTCCCGAGCCCGACGAACCACCGGAGCGGATCGCGAGGGCCAGGCTGTTTGGTGTACGTTCCAGCATGCGTCCGAGCTGGCGCATTTGTCGGCGCATGTGTCTGTGCTGCTGGGCATTCGCAAGAATATTCATATTGCAGTGCTGCCTGCAGGGGTATTGCTAACTTGCTGTCGTCGACGCCGCGCGCCCGTGGTAGCTGAAGACCTCGTAGCCGATCATCATCTGGCCTGCATTTTGCGCGCGGTTCCACATGATATTGAACCTGGTGGGTAACTCGCCGATGCAATCGTTACCTTGGCGCGAGAAATTCATCAGTTGAGTCGCTGCTGTCGCCCTCCCTCGCTTAGCTGAGCCCACCGTTCAGTCAAGCTGCGAATGATGAGCCGTCGTCACATCAGTATGACACCCTGCATCAATACTTGCGGAAACCATTCGCCGACGTACTCGCGAGCAAATGCGACTGCGGCTCGCCAGAGATCTTTCATTTCATGCCGGAGCTGGCCACTGACCATAACATGACATCCCGCGCCCAACGTCGAAATGGGATGCGGTTCTGCTGCTAGGGCCCCCACTGGTGCAGAGATCGTGCGTTGCTTCCGCCGCCACCTTGGTTGCCACCATCCACGCACGCTGCCGCGGTGCCTAACCATATGTTCTGCCAGCCTGCGTGCCTCTCTTCCCAGATGTCGTAGGCTGTGGCCAGGCCTGGTACCCAGCAAGTCTGTTCGGCTTGTCGGAATCGTCGAGGTTGAGCCTTGGTGTGCTTTTCCTCGTCGCCGTAGAAGGCGATCTCCGTGGTCGAGTGGCTGTCATGCCCGTCGGAGCGCTCGTCGTCGTCGATCGCAGGATGGCAAGCCCAAACCGATGGCCGCGCCATCGGTTCCAAGTCAGGTGGTGGTGTCGGAGTTATCCCAAGGTGGTTTGGTCACTGGCTGAACCACTATCCCGCACCAGCTGCCGCGCAACTGGTGGGAGGGATCATGGCAGCAGTCCTGTGCCATAGCGACGCGGCCGCGCCTCGTTCGGCGGCCGCGCCTCCGGTGCCACCGCCCCCTGGGCCCAGCAAAGCTCTCCCGTGCCAGCTGCCGCGCAGCTCGTCTGGGAATGAGCTGCCGAAGCCCAGCAGGTCCGCCGCCGGGGTCTCTGCTCTCGAACACCGTGTCGTGAGTGTCCTCGAGATGAAAATTCTCGTCCGGGGGCTCTGGCACCTGTCTATGTATCTGTACAACTGTAGAGATTTACTGTTTCGACTCGTGGGAGTTTGAACAATCTACCGGAATTGGCCGCCCCCCGAGGACATCCCTACCCGTCCTCGCCATGGTGATTTGCATGAAGTCTAGCCGACTTGGCAACATGGCCATAATTTAGAAAGTCAGTGCTCGAACAATTTGCCGCGAAGAGCTGGAACCGCGACGCGGTGGAGAATGTCGCGGTGACGCGGGAAGGGAAGGGAAGCAAACTGTAATAACGTTCGCCGCGATGGCACGGGAGGAAATCATCGTACGATGTGCAGACAGCAGCCTGCTCCGCTACCAGCAAAATATGCAACTGATTCGGGCGATAGGATAGTTTGCTCACTGGGCGCAAGCAAGAAGGTTACACGCTTGGGGTCTGGGCAATCCAAGGCGCAATCAACACGGGCGCGTCAGAGCTCTGGTGCCGTTCGGGTTGCACGAGCATGAGAAGAAGGAAGGGTATAGGGGGTATGGGGGAGGAGGGAGCGGAGGATGAGCGGGAGGGGGAGGCGCATCAGGAGCACGAGGATGAGGCTGAGAGGGGAGAGAAAAGGGTGGAGGATAAGTGGGCGGAGCAGGAGACAAGGAGGGGAGGACACGCAATGCCAGAATGATGACAAGCACATCGTGCAAGACAACGAGTAGCAAGAGAGACAAAGGGTCGAACGCCTCTGCGCCCGGCTGTGCGTTGCTCTCCATCCTGTCCGTGGAAACGCTCGTGAACTGCTGCTTCGTCAGCACCGAGAGGTGGTGCTCTAAAACCTTCCCTCCCACTCTCCCCCCTTCCCTCTGCCTCCTCCTCCTTCTTTTCCTTCTTGTGTCTTCAGCCGTCCTGGACGGTCTGCGGCCGTCTGGGGCCCGTCCTGAGACTGCCTAGGGGCCCCGGCTGGTGGTCTCATAATCGAGCACAGGCCATCCTGCTCCTTGTCCGCCTCCAGCTCCTCTTCCTCCTTCTCTTCTTCTTCCTCCACCACCTCCTCCCCCTCCTCTTCCCGCATTCGGGAATGCCGTGCTGGTACATTCACCACCTCGCACTTTGAGGCCACTGTGTTACATGTCTACGAGTGCGTAGCGACACATTTGTAGGATTTGAACGGAGGAGGAACGGGAGAAGGAGGAGGAGGAGGACCAGTGTAAACCCAAGAGTCGCCAACGATGCTGGAGTAACCCCCCCCTCCAAGCTCCCTCTTCACAGGCCCCTACAACGGTTCATTTCCATGGAGGGAACTGCCTGGTTGGAAGACACCCGTTTGAGGACCCTGAAGCATGCCAGAACATTGTTCTCGGGATTCCATCGCCACGGATCAACCTGACTGTTGCGTCTTGGCGATCCTGAGTCGTGCCAGAACGCCATTACTAGGACTTCAACGCAGAGAATCAACGTAACTGTTGTGCCCGCGTAATCCTGAATCCTTCCTAAACACCCTTTCTGGTACGTTGATGATGGGAACTCGTGAAGCTTTTGAGAATTTCGCAAGCGAAAATGCGCGGCGCTGAGGCGAGAACCACATTTTGAAAAAGGAACCGCCCTCAATCCGCGAAGCCCTTGCAAATCTTGAAAGCGAATGTGCGCCGCGCTAATGCGAGAACCATATTTTGAAAACCACGCGCCCTCAATCCGTGAAACTCTTGCAAATTTTGAAAACGAATGTATGCGGCGCTAAAGCGAAAACCACATTTTGAAAAGGAACCGCCTTCAATATGTGAGACGCTTGCAAATTTTGAAAACGAATGTGCGCCGCGCTTGGGCGGGAACCACATTTTGAAAACCGCTCGCCCTCAATCCTTGAAGCTCTTGCAACTGTTGAAAACGAATGTGCGCCGCGCTAAAGCGAGAACCACATTTTGAAAACGACCCGCCTTCAATCCGTGAAGCTCTCGCTCATTTTAAAACGAATGTGCGCCTCGCTAAGGCGAGAGTCACATTTTGCAAACCACTCGCCCTCCATCAGTGAAGCTGTTGCCAACTTTTGAGCTTCTTCATGACGAGAAAATCTCAGGCAAAACGCCTGACCCGCCCTAAAAACTGGCATCGGGATGCGACAGGGAAAACATACTTATCAGGAAAAGGAATGGAGCAGGTGGGGGGGAAGGAGGTGGGGGGGAAGGAGAAGGAGGAGGAGGAGGCGGAGGAGGGGGAGGAGGAGGAGGAGGAGGAGGAAAAGGGGGAAGAAGAGGAAACATTCGACTGGCCGAGTCGAACAACCGACGGGAGAGAGCATGGGCCATCTCATGGGCTGCTCACCTTGCAATCAAAGTGTAGCAGCAAGACGCGAAGCGTCAACAGTGGAAACCAGCAATCAGAGAGGGCCTTACCCGATTCAGGATGCCGCCTTGCCCGAATGGTGGCAGCACTATCATGATTACGTCTGTAGTTAGCGTGTGGGGGGCCATGCTCAGACGGTCCCAAGCAATCAATTTCGAACGTGCCCTTGGCCACTCCGCCATGAAAAACTTGGTACGAACCACGTATGGTGCAGACCATCACCACACGGGTCACCAGAACCTGGTGTCTCTGGAACTCGACAACAACATCAGAAGCTGGCACCGACACCCCGTCCAACGTGGAACTCGCCTCAGCGCCAACACATTCGGTCCCAGGTGGGATTGAGGCTGTCTTCGGCCTCAAGGGCCGCCGCCACCGCCGCAGACCGCAAAAGGGGGGGGGCGCTCTGGAACGCATCGTCCGACCGAGCCTTGAGCCTCTGTTGGGCCGTGGGCTAAAAGTGTCCCTGTAACAGCTGAGTGAGGCTAGTACAGGTCCTCGCCAAACCCAAACACTCCGCACATAGGTAAACTTTGGGGCGTTCAACTAACATACTATGTGCAATAAGAGCCACAATCCTGAGAGGGGCCCGCATGCGGAAAACACGGGGCGGCCAATCACTCAGTGAGTCGCGGTAAATCATCTGACATGCTCACCATGAAATAAGCCGTGCCTGCAACTTGCTTTTGCCATACATCATAAGCTTTAACTACATGGTCTACAAGCGCGTACTTCGTATCTCCCATTTTAGCAAACATGTCAGCCCATACATTCCGGAGACAATACTCCCACGGGTGTTCGTCCATCTTGAAGAGTTCTTCAGCCGACTTCTGAGACGGGCACCAATAAAAACCGGGCGCTGGTCGCCTTTCCATGGTGGAAAAAATTCTTCGCCACCAATCAGCATACTGAGCGTGAGCGCGAGCGTGAATCGAATTCCATTAATTGCCGTCGTTCGCGAGAGAGACCACATCCGACGCCACCAAGGAGTCGCGGAGTCGCGAGGTAAGAACCGGACTGCAGCAAACACTGCTGCTCTCTCAGCTCTTCCTGCCGGTCCTCAAGATCCCCGTGCACATCGAACTGGTAGCCCATTGTCTCCATGCAACTGTGGCCGCGATGGGGCCAGGTCTAGACCCGTCGGTATACGCCAGGGATGAGCAGGTCGAAGAAACCGAGCTCCAATGTCTCCAGAACATGATCTCGAACCCCGTGGAGACCTTGGATGGGGACTTAAAGCATGGCGGCATACACGTACGCGAGCCAATGCTATCCAAAACGGGCCCAGCGAGCCCTTGACGACCAGTCTCTCGTAGGTGCTCGCGTGCGCGGTTTGTCTTGGGGCCCGAAAAGGTTCTCATCACGTGTGTCATGGTATAACTCGCACATCTAAACCATCATCCCCCAACGTGGTACGGGCCTCTCCGCGACGAGGACATGTCGGCAATGTTATATCCCCGCCTGGTGTTGCCTGTTCCTGGTCCAGATGCCTCCGCGCCGAAGCGCGGGAAGAGCATCTGCAAAACCAGGGATGTCTGACGGCGCCTTTGGCTCCTGCCCAAGGAATTGCGTAGCGTGCGAAGTCGAGTGGCCTCGTCTCAATGGCGCGCGTCTCGATGGTGCTCTAAGATCTTGCGCGCTCGCCGGCGTCCAACGCTCTACCTGCGAGCTCGCGCGCCGAACCGCCTGGCCCTGATCAGCGACAACTGCAATGCTAGATTGCGTATTCCATCGGGTACGACCAAGACTGAACCAGAATGCCTAAAGAGGCCTTCGAACTCGGTTGGAGCAGCTCAGAAGCACACCCACAGCGCCGATGCGATTCGTTGCCGCGCGACAACATCCACAGTCGGAAACGCGCGTGACCATTTTGCTATCTCGCCTGGCCTTGCGACTAAGGCACCCGCTCCGACGATGGGTCGGGGCTGCCGGCGCGCATGCCGGCGAGAGGCGGACATCGCGAGGCAGGGCTTCGCGCGCCAGCGGGGCCCGCGGCGGCGCCGACAGGACCCCGCGCCGATTGTTCTCGCGCGGTGAATTTGTCCGAACGGCGCCAAGGATATGGCTATGTCGTTGAATAGTGGGCGAGCGCAGGCATGCGCGGGGCGCGGCTGCTTCTGGCGTCGAGCAAGGGTCACTTCGAAGAAAAGATCGCGTCGGGGCTGCAGCAGCGCCGCGCGCCGGGCCAGGCGAACCCACCGAGAGCAAGCTCGTGGGGCCCAAGTAGGATCTGAAACATCGTGGGAACGTCGGGCCAGCAGCGCGAGCTTGGGTCGCGGCGGCCAGATGGTCTGGACACACCATGCGGCGCCGAGCTTTCTGGATAAATATTGCGGCTGTTCTCCGGGGGGGGGGAAGCGGCGTCAGGCCCCCGACCATTCCCTCCCTTTTGGACTTCTGCAGTTTTTGGCAGTGGGGGCGGGGGACGGACGCAAACGCTTTTATTGCATACAGGTGGGGCCGACCTCTTGTCCTCGGCTCTTTGGACGTCGCCACCGCCTTCGACGCGATGCGTCATGACAACGTGCTGAAGGCTCTGCTCGGCAGAGGTGTGCGCCCGCAGCTGGTGAAAGCCTTGATGGTTGAAGTCGCAGGGAAGTCCTGTCGCATTGAGCTGCCTGGGGCCGGATTCTCGGACGATTTTCCGCTCGAAGGGGGCGGCGAGCAGGGAGGCAACGACACCCCGGACGAGTTTAATTGCATGATCGAATACCTTATGGAACCCGCCGTCAAAGCGTGGGCGGAGAGAGCAGCCGGTTTCGCTTTGGACGACGACCGACCACGCAGCCTACGTATAACCCACCTCGTTTGGGCTGACAACATCATCATTTTCAGCGAATCGCTCGAGCAGTTCACGGACATGATGCGCGACCTCACCTCTGCAATCGAAGATTACGGGTTCAAATGGAAGTCGTCTTCGTTAGGATGCATGTTGTGCGGTTGCCTGCGGGACACGGCTCATCAGCAACAGAACGCCGTGCACGTCTCCAGTGCTACTGTTCTTAACCGAATGCAGCGCGTTCTGCTTTTGGGCCTTATCTTCGACCCTCAAGGAGATACCGACGTCAGCTTGGAACACCGCTTGTCTCAAGGAGAAACATGTTTTTGGAAGCACAGCCGGGTCTTATCTGGCGTGGGCCGGTATCCCATAAATTACGTGCTTGGTCGACGGCTCCAATGGCATCCAGCTTGTTCTGTTGCGGGTCTTTGCACATATCCAAATACCACCTTGTCCGCTTGCGTTCTTGGGAAAATGGCATGCTCCGCAAGGCTTTCCAGCTAAGGCGGCGACCTGATGAAGGGTATATGTCCTATAACTCCCGTACATTACGCATGATCCAAAATTGGTTTGTTCAGCACGGCCACGCCCCTATTCACCACAAGGTTTTGCGAGCCATCTTCGACGAAGCGTGGCGGGAGCGACAGTTTACTTCGCCCAGCGGGGTGAACTATCTGGCTCTGTCAAGGGCTTACCGCGACCGTCTCTTTTGGGAAGGAATCAAGGACTTCAAGAAGCAGCGCCAGGCAGAGGGCATCGTGCATGCAGGATTCGGCCACAGGCGCGAGTGGGAGGACATCTTCTGCGATGTCTTCGGGACAGACTGGCGTTCGAGACGCGACAGGTGTGATTCGTACGAGTCTTGGAATAAACATTTTGACGAATTTAAAGCTTCACTTTGTACGCAATGGCAGCTTCCCAACCGTGGCCGAAGTGCACAGGACGTTCACGTAGACATCCCGGTCGGCCCCAACAAGCGGAACAAGACTCTCCATCGTACTCTGGATGGGTGTCCGGATCAGCACGGGGACGAACAACCCGACATTGAGTTCCACCGTATTTGCAATTGTTTCGTATTCGTAGTAGACTGCGAACCTCTAGCAGAAGTGACGTGCGGGCACGTGCCGCTGAATGCACCTGGGCTCACACCGGTGTTTGAAAGGATCACCGGGCAGATCTTTAAGTTGATCGATGCTGGATGGTCCCCGGCGTCAGAGACAGGGGATCCCATCTTTTGGCACCGTCGCGAGAACAATCGCATCGCCGACTTTCTTGTAAACCGCACCATGGATGTAGGGACCAGCTGGCGGAAAGACGCCCCGCCAACTCTAGGAGATTTTTGTGTTCTTGAAGCAAATTACATCATTCATTCAGACGGGGGGACACGCACAGGCTCCTGCTCAGCTGCGGCCTGGTATGCCGAAGCAGCTGTATGGCGTGAAGGCCATCGCCACATTTTCCCTATCGCTATGAGTGGAACTTACATGAGCCCGCCTGTTTCTTCCTTCACAGCGGAAGCCATGGCCTTAGAGGACGCAGTCTGCTCGATATCCCGGCTGATACATCAGAATGCCAGTGTGAAGCGCGGCAGAGTTCAGCACAACTTTTTATCTTCATAACATTTGCGTGGTGGCCTGTCACGGTGTGGCTAGAGGCGTCCGAAAGAAAGAAGAAGAACGAAAGCGGCGGCGAGGCTAGCCGCGCGATTGCGAACGGGAGGTTCAGGAGTCTCGACCAGTCGTTCGGCTTGCACGCTCGGCCAAGCAACCAATGAGTCTTGGTCGCCGTAATTTGGCGGAGGTTGAGGTGGCGAAGCAGCTCGATGAGAAATTCAGGTCTTATTTCGCCGACGGCCTGGATTACTTCTCTGACCCCAAGCCGGCAAATCCCGCGCATGGCGTACTAGAGCGAGCTGATGATTTCATCCAGGCACGGCACAAGGAAAGCGAGAAGCTTTGCGAGGACTGGATAAGCGCGGCATTGTCGCGCGGCACTTGCAAGGCCCATCAAGCTGCGCGAGTCAAGGCGCTTGCTGCCAGTATCCCACGCAGTGCGCACGCAACCAAATCATATGGTGGATGATAAGATGCGACAATGGAAGGAGGCATAGGCATGTCACGGTACGAATCACATGGAGCTGCTTGTTGGCGTGCGCCATCACCAGGAAGGAACTCGCTGGACTAAAAGGCAAGGCGGATCGCCCCCCGACTTACGGCTATGAAATGGCTTCGAGGTCCCAGACATGACATGCCAGGGTTCGACTTTTTTCGCAAACAAGCTAGCACTCGCATTCGAAGCTTCGAGATCGACTGCCGTGGCCTGCGCATGCTACGCCGTGGCCTTCCCCCTCTACCTCCTCATTTCAGAAGGGCAAAATGCATCGTGACCCCATGGGCCGTGCAACCATGGGGCCGCCAAGGCCGTATTCTAGGTTCATTCGGGACCAACGCGCACCCCCCCAGGAGGTCGCAAAAGGCCCGGCAGATTCAGGAACAAAAATTCAAGAGGATAAGCTCGTCAAAATCCTCCAACCACCCGGCGTTTTTCCATGTCGTTGAACCTTCCCAATTAGCATGCCAGTCGGTAAAGCCAATCTTGAGTGTCCTCATCGGGCCCAGCTGGATCTTACAAGTACGTAGAGATGGCCACGGTCCAATTTGGATTTTCCAATGCTATGCTGGCCGCAACCATTCTTCCACCATGAAGCAATGCAGACTTCAAACCAGGGCGGCGGCGTCGTGACAGTGGTGTATAGATGTATATGTTTATATAAGTATCTATATATGTATAGTAGCAATCTCGACATCTTCTGACGGTAATATTTCCTCTGCCGTGCCTGCGAATTGCTGGGGCAAGGCCCATCTATGCCATGACATCCGCATGTTTTCACCGTGTGTCCTACAGAAAATAATGCGTGATGGCCCGCTTTGGGTTCTTGAGCGAGAACCGCAACCGGTCTGCGACCTTCCACGTGCTGTGATAAAAAAAGCCGTGCTGTCCACGCAGCTCGTCATGATTAGAGAGCGTGAGAGAGAGAGAGAGAGAGAGAGAGCGTGATCCACCGCCGCTTTACTGTGGAAAATTCCCCCCCCTCTTCCTCCGGAACCCGGCCCGCCCCCCCTTCCGAAAATCCCCCCCCCTGCTGGAACCCTCCCCCCCCCCTTCCCCCCTTTCCCCCGGCAAAGCCCCCCCCTCCCCTAACCCTCCCCCCCCCGCCCCCTCTGGAAAACCGGGGGGGGTCACTGCCGGTTCGAACCCCTCCCCCCCCCCTCCAGAAAACCGGGGGGTGGTCACTGCCGGTTCGAACCGAACCGGTAGTGACCCCTCCCCGGTTTTCGAGGGGGGGGGACGGGTTGGGAACCCCCAGTGACACCCCCGGTTTTCCGCCAGCAGCGGTAGAACATGCTCTTTCGGATTCCAGGGACCTGGTGTCTAGGGATCAGGAATCTCGTGACCATCCTTGCACCACGGGGCCCTGAATCTAGGGACCATGGGCCAGGGACCTGGGTTCTAGGGGCCAGCAGACTAGGGACTTGGCGTCTAGGGACCAGGAGTCCGAGGACATGGAGTCTTGGGGCCAGGAATTTAGGCCCCTGGACTCCAGGCCCCTAGACCCCTGGACGAAGAGTTTAATGACCTGGAGTCCAAGGACGAATCCGCCCTGCACTGTTCCGGCCATTTCTTACGGTTTCTGCTCCCAGCTGACGGTGCTCCCGTGGACTGGGCCCTGGACTCCTGGGCCCTAGGCTCCAGATCCCTGGACTCTTGAGTTTTGGTAGAAATCGATCCCTCGTCGAAGTCGTGCTCTCGTTTCCGGCGTCCCCATGTTCCCAACGGGAGCTCACCACAACATTGTGATCTTGCCCGTGACAAAAGGCTAGGGAGGCGGTGTGTTGCAACATCAGAGACGTGTGCTTGGTCGATTCTAATCCTCCACGTTCTCTCTCGGCTATGCGCAAGAGTGACCCATGGTAAGAGTGACCTTTGGTGCGCGGCTTTTTGGGGGCCGCGGGGGGGGGGCCAAACCTGGGCGCGCAAGCGGCTGCCACTGTTTCGTTTCCAGCCATTTGGGACCCATCTGTGCCCGCACCAAAGGTCACTCCGGCGAAGGGTCACTCTTACGTCTAGTCGAACGTGTGCTTGGTCGATTCTAATCCTCCACGTTCTCTCCAACTCCACCCGTCTTCCCGGGCAGGGACGGCGTCCTTGTGGAGCGCGGCCTTGCCCTCATGGGCGGCCGCCTTCAGCAGGTGGCCAGCCTTGATGATCCTCGGCTGCGGATTTCGGCCCTTCTTCTCTCCCTCCTCCTCCTCCTCCTCCTCCCCCTCCTCCTCCTCCTCCTCCTTCTCCTCCTCCTCCTCCTCCTCCTCCTCCTCCTCCTCCTCCTCCCCCTCCTCCTCCTCCTCCTTCTCCTCCTCCCCCTCCTCCGTCCCCAGTTTTTGTTGCTACTATTGAGCAAGGCAGGCAACGGTGCCAACGGCGTTGAACACGACGGGATTTCCCAGAGCGGCGGCGCTGGCGGCCTGATTTTGGCCCCACTTCGGGTGGTCCTCCGAGCTGCTAAGGAGGTCTCGGTGTCCCTCCCCGAGGATAGAGACGGCCGAGGCAATGACACTTTATTCGACGCCCTTTCTCTGGGGGACGAGCTGCGTCCTGGGAGACCAAGTCGAAAAGCTACAAGCGTTTTCCATTCCACCTTATGAGCCGGAATAAGTATGGATAGCCTGCTGCGGGAAGGAGCGCGCGACGGGGTGCAGTGTATCTTGTCGCGCATCACGGTCGTGAGAATTGCCTTTGCGCCATCGCCGTCATCGCTGCCGCATCCATAGGCATCGCCATCGCCATCGCCGTCATCGCTGCATCCACAAGGGTGCCATCCGATGCCATTTGAAGCAAACAATCTTCGGCGCAAGCGCTACTCGTCGCAAGGCGCAGGCACCGCAGGCAGTGTTTTTTTGTAGACGCAGGCTCTGCGCATGGCAAGATCCAAGCACTGCATGCACGTCAAATCAGAGGGCGCAAAGCACCGCCTGGGCACCGTGAGGTGAGCGCAGGCGCCGCGGGCGCTGCGCTGCGCCAGCGCAGGCACTGCGCACGGCAACCCGCAGACACCCCAAGGCACGTGAAATACATCGGGTGCAGACACCGCGCGGACGGGCATCGCAGCTCCAGCGCAGGCACCGCAGGCTGTACGCTTTTTCCAGAACCGAGCGCTGCGCCTAAGCGGGGCGCAGGCACCGCAGGCGCGTCCACTCAGATGGCGCAGGCGCGCCGCCGGGGCATGACTGCTTCAGCGCGTGCACCACGGGCGCCCTGCGTCATTCGTCGCTGCATGCGCCGCGCACGTCGGGGCGCAGGCGCCGCAGGCGCATCAAAACACGCGGTGCAAGCATCGCCTGGGTGCCACGGCGTCAGCGCCATTCTCGGGATCGCCGCGCCACCTGATGGCGCAGGCGCTGCGCCTGGCGAGTCGCTGGCACCGCAGGCACGTCGAAACATAGGGTGCAGGCGTCGCCTGGGCGACACTGTTTCAAAGCAGGCGCCGTAAGAATTTGTCTGCGCTGTAAGAACGTCGGCGTCTTAGATCCGCCGCCTTCTGTGGCTTGCCACAGGGGTGCACGGCGTGTCAGACCTTGTCGTTTTACTAGATGTATGTGTGTATGTATGTATGTATGTATGTATGTATGTATGTATGTATGTGTGTGTGTGTATGTATGTATGTATGTATGTATGTATGTATGTATGTATGCTTGTATGTTTGTATATGTGTATGTATGAATGCATAGCTGCATGTCTGTCTGTCTGTCTGTATGGATGGGAGTCTGTATGTATGTATGTATGCATGCATGCATGTATGTATGAATGCATGCAGGCATGTATGTATGAATGTATGTGTGTGTGCATGCATGTATGTATATGTGCATGCATCTATGTATGTATGTTTGTGTGTATGTTTATATATAATGTACATGTGGGTAAGCACGTGTACAACACATGCATACTATAAATCTCGATATACGATGTCTACAACACAAGAAATTTCAATGGGGTCTCGGTCGATCGCGCTGGCCACCCAGAGAACCCTGGAGCTTGCATACCCCGCTGGTCTTCCCACGCAAGATGGCCCCACGATGGCCTCCAAGACGGCCCATATGGCCTCCAGGACGGCCAAGATGGCCCCAACAGAGCCGAAGATGGCCTCAGTGTGTTTCCGAGACGGCCCAAGATGCACCCAAGACGGCCTAAGATGTCCTCAAGATGGCCCAAGGTGCACCCAATAGGGCTCCAAGACGGCCCAAGAGGTCCTTCAGGACGGCCCGAAGTAGGCAAAACACTTGATTCTTCTCAAATGTTTGGAGGGTTGTGGCGTTTGCTCGTGTTCGGCTTCCCGAGGGCCCAAGACGGCCCAAAAGGCTCCAAAGATCGCCCAAGAGGCCTCCGAGATGGCCCGATGACGGCCCAAGAAGACCTCCAAGACGACTCCAAGATGACCCTAAGAAGACCTAATATGCCTCCGAGAGACACAAGATGGCCTCCAGGACGGCCCTGAAGTTCCCCAAGAGGGTCCCAAGACGGCCCAGAGAGGCCCCCAAGGCAGTCTCCGACGGCGTCAGACGGGCCAGAAACGCACCCATAATGCCAAAGAGGCCCCCAATAAGCCCCTAGAGGCCCCCAAGAGTACCAAGGAGGCCCCCATGAGGCCTCCAAGAGGCCCACAGGAAACCCCAAGAGTGCACCAAGAGTGCCCCAAGAGGCCCTCTCCTTCTCCTGCTCCAGCTCCTCCTCCCTCTTTTGCCTGATGCTCTCCCCCCGCCCCCCCGCCAAATGTTCACCCGAAGGGTTTCCACTACGGCTCGCGGAACACATAGTCTGATAGCTTGTCCAAGCCTTGGCCACAACGTTCGACCACGTAGGCGCTTCCAAAAGGCAGGGGCCGGCGGTGATCCACCGTAGGCGTCATCGATCCGCCGCCCCCCGTTGCTTGCCACAAGGATGCACGGCGTGCTGGACTCCAGTTATGTTGTTTTGAAACCTTGTTTAACAGTTCCCAATGGGGTCTCGGCTGGTCGCGCCACCGTGTCCCACAACAGGCGTTTCGCCAGAGACATCCTCACCCAACGGCCAAGATGGCTCCAAGGTGGTTCCAAACCAGTCCAAATACGCCTATAAGACGGCCGATATGACCCCGCGATGCCTCCAAGACGGCCCAAGATGAACCCAACACGGCCCAAGATGGCCTCAAGGTGCCCCAACATGGCTCCAAGATTACCGCCAGGAGGCCAAACTCATAGATCCCCTTTCGGCTTCTCACTTGGTTTCGCGTTCTCGCCTTCTCGGGCTTCCTATATCCGAATACTGCCCCATTGGCCTCGAAGATAGCCTCAGGATGGCCCTAGAGGCCTTCCAAGAGAGCCCCAAAACGGGCCAAGAGGCCCC